CGGCGCTCCCTCAGCGCTGACCCTCCGACAGTGCAGCGTTCCCTCAGCACTGACCCTCCGACAGTGTGGCTGTCCCTCAGCGCTGACCCTCCGACAGTGCGGCGCTCCCTCAGCACTGACCCTCCGACAGTGCGGCGCTCCCTCAGCACTGACCCTCCGACAGTGCCCACTCCCTCAGCACTGACCCTCCGACAGTGCGGCGCTCCCTCAGCACTGACCCTCCAACAGTGCCCACTCCCTCAGCGCTGACCCTCCGACAGTGCCCGCTCCCTCAGCACTGACCCTCCGACAGTGTGGCGCTCCCTCAGCACTGACCCTCCAACAGTGCGACGCACCATCAGCACTGACTCTGGGTGCCTCAACCTGACAATGTACATGATCCTGTCAATTTGGAACTTTTAGCCTGAGCCTCCAGATTTTGACAAGAGGTATTTTCTGTTGCTGTTAGAAATCACTGTTTATGAACATAACTGGGCAAGTCACGACCTGAACTCAAACCAGTCTGGCTGGGAAATATTGAGATGCACTCACTTTCCCTTATTCAGTGAAGACACAGGTTCCTGCACGGAGGGGGTGAGATTTGGGGTCAGTGGATTGTATTTTCCCTTCAGCCCTGTGTGTTTGAGGGCAACTGGGAGATCAACGTGTACAAAGTTACTCCCCTTTTGCTGCCTGTCATCAGTGGGTGTGTGAATACAAGAGACAACAAGGTGCAGAGCTGGATGAACACAGCAGGCCAAGCAGCATCATAGGAGCAGGAAGGCTGACATTTCGGGCCTAGACCCTTTATCAGGCGTGTGAATACATGCAGATTCCTGGAGGGAAGTAGTTAATCAGCATTAAGACATTCTGAACAGGAGACTTTCACAAGAGAAAAAAAAACTGAAGCTTCATTGTTTTCTAGCGAACTGGAGGCGTTCCCTTATTACCAGGAAGTTGCCTAAAGCACGCACCGAGAACGGGCCTGATCAATTCAGATTATGTTGCAGAGAAGCCAAACAATATTATACCCAACTGTTCTCCTCTGCTCGTTGCTTGCGGAAGGTATGTGTTGGAATGTGTGCATGTGTGTGTTTGTGTGTGTTTATGTGTTTGGATCAGGAAGTGGTCCCCTCACCCTACCCAAACAGAAGTTGCTAGAAAAGCTCAGCAGGTCTGGCAGCCCCTGTGAAGAAAAAAAACATCATAGTTAACCTTTCCAGGGGGGGTACGGTGACCCTTACTCAGACTCTACCTCTGAGGAAGGTTCACTGGACCCGAAACGTTAACTGATTTTATTTTCTTCACAGATGCTGCCAGACCTGCTGAGCTTTTCCAACAACTTCTGTTTCTGTTCCTGGTCTTCCTCAGACTGGTGCTCTGAAGCACAACCCTTCACTCTTCACCTCTCCTCGGCTGGGTAGCAGGAGTCTGTGAGTGGAATGAGGGTTCCTAAGAGGGAGAGTCATTCCCAACATGCTCAGTGCGGTCAAACCCTCTTGTCAACAGATTTACAGTCCCCCTCGATTTCAAGGCAAGTTGGGAAATGATATCAAAGTGGGAATAAAAGACATGTCCTGAGAAATTCACACTAGGTTAGACATCATTAGAAAGTGATAAAGTCTCAGATGAGACTGCTTCAGAAAAAATTCTTCTCACTGCCAGCACTAACCCCTATTACACTCTTTCCTGACCAATATATGTATGATACATGTAGTTACTGAAAATGAAAATTAACATTTTGTCAACACTCCCCATGTCATCACTGTTGGTGAAATATAATTTCTAACCCAGACCCTTCTTTCACTTCACCCTGGTGCATTCTGTGTGGTTACAGCGGCAGACACAGGCCTGCTCATACCCCTGCTCCCACTGCTCTGGATCTCAGCGTTGTATGTTTACCAAATACTGTTTTATCTTTACCAATATAGAAGGAACTTAAACCTGAACCTGATGGTTTACTTCCAGTCAGGAACAGATCATTGATTTACGCTAATCTCTGATTTGAAGCCCATTTCCAGCATTCACCGTTGTTCTTCCTCTGACTTTAAACCCAGTTAGAAACGAGACTTTGTTCCGTGTCTAGGAGCTCTGAGCCATGGAAGACAGTTTCTGGGACACATTTCTTACACACAGCAGGATTAACTCACACTGTGGATTGGCTGTCAGGGAAGAGAGACGAGAAAGAGTAAAGTGCCATCTGACCCCCTCAGTGTGACCCTCAAGGATGCGTCCAGCTGAAGTTCTGTTCCTGCCGTACGATTCTCCCCACCCCCCTGAGATTGTCCTTTCTGACCTCCAGGTGCTGTTCAACCCTCAGGACAAATACAACAATCTACAGTGATGTGTTTGAAGCAAAGCGGACTTATTTTACATTTCTCTAGTATATTAAACTCTAGTTCAATTTTAGAGGTTAGAGAAACAAGCTGAAAATGTCAGAACAAAAGTATCAGAAGATTACAGCGCAGATCAAGGCCTTTTTTTTATTCATTTGTGTGGATGTGCGTATTGTTGGCTGGCCAGCAGTATTTGCCCTTGGCCCATCATGTTTGTGTTGGCTGAAATAGAACTACCCACGCTTTACAGCTTTCTGGACTCATCATTGAGATCAACAATTTCAGACTGTGAACTCTGCCCCAATTTGTTTATATTTCTTGTTTCAATTTGTTTCTGGGTCCACTGCACACCTGGCTCCAGGCACATCTTTGTTTATTTGCTCCTTTTCCAGCCCTAACTCCATTCCCTGCAGCCTTGAAGGACTAATAACATTTCTGCAATTTAATCTCTCCTGCCTTCCCCCTGTGACATCTGCCTTTTTGCCCTTGTCTCACCACCCCACCTTGCTCAGAATCTGTTACATTTCTGGTCCCAGGCCTCTGTCAACTCACCATGGCCCCCGGGTCAGAGTTTTCAATTCTCTTCCTCCAGAGAGAATCTGAAATCGTTGTGGCTGCAGCTTTCCCCAGATTTTTATTTTGGAAACAAGAACCATGAAATTGTTTCAGAGTTGAGGTTTTTTTGAGCCTTAATCCACAATTTCGCCTCTTTAGAGCTAAGCTGTGTTCCTCCCACAGTCCAAAAATGCAAGTTAGGTGGATTGGCCACACTAAATTGTCCCCGCGTGTGCAGGTTAGGTGGTTGGGGTAAATGTGGGGTTTGTGGGAACAGGGTGGGATAGAGAGCTAGTGCAAACTAGATACACAGAACGACCTCTTTCTGCACTGTCGGGATTCTGTGATCTTAACCATTTGTGATCACGGTCACATTTTCCTCATGACAGCCCACACATCACCATGTTCATTCAGCTCAAGCTTTCATGCTGCCTTTGTGTTTCGAGAAGCTCTGTTGTTGGAATGGGAGCTTTCTTTGATGTGGCCTCTCCTCATACTTCCACCCACTTCCCAGTTCCCTGCGTTAATTCCAGCTACCTCTCGTTTACCCAAATGGGGTTGTTAAAGAGCTCAAAAGGCAAGTGGACTGAAACTGAGCAATTAAAGAGTCAGAATGAAAGAGGAAGTGGACAAAATAAACAGGTTTGGTAGATCCCAGGGGAGTGAGGAAAGGTCACAGATGCTTCCAGACCTGCTGAGCTTTTCCAGCAACTTTGTTTTTGTTCCAGGGGAATGAGACTCCAGGATCCTTCTGTTGTGACTGTTCACACGGTTTTTTTTAATTAATTTGTGAGATGTGGGCATCTCTGGCTGGCCAGCATTTCTTGCCCGTCTGTAGTTGCTCTTGAGAAGGTGGTGGTGAGCTGCCTTCTTGAACCGCTGCACTCCTCCTGCTGTGTGTTGACCCACAATGCTATTAGGGAGGGAATTCCAGGGTTTTGACCCAGCGACAGTGAAGGAACGGTGATATAGTTCCAAGTCAGGATGGTGAGTGACTTGGAGGGGAACGTGGATGTGGTGATCTTCCCATATATCTGCTGCACTTGTTCTTCCAGATAGAAGTGGTCATGGGTTTGGAAGGTGCTGTCTGAGGATCTTTGGTGAATTTCTGCAGTAGAGACAACATTCTCTGATGAGACTCAAACCCGGGCAGGCGAAGATGGAGCACTGAATAGTAAAAGACTTAGTTCAAACACAGGAGATTTGTTCAGCCAGTAATAGCTTGTAGTGTAATAGTCACGGATGTGAAGTGAGTAGAGAAGGGAAATATTGCCACATGCTGCAGATGGAAAAGTTTTATAGGAACAGGAGTAGACCATGCAGCCCCTCAAGCCTGTTCTGACATTCAATGAGATCATTGCCTGATCTCTGGGAAGGATCTAGAATCCTTGATATCATGTGTAAATGTACCAGAGCGGTGAGGGATTTTAGCTGCAAGGACGATTTGGGGAAACCATATCTTGTTCAACTTGAAGAAGAGGTATTTTCTAGATGCACAAGATCATGACAGGCTTAGATCCTGGAATCCTAGAATCCCTACAGTGTGGAAACAGGCCCTTCGGCCCAACAAGTCCACACCGACACTCAGAGCATCGCCCCCAGACCCATCCCCCTATAACCCACCTCATCTGCACATCCCTGAGCACTACGGGCAATTTAGCTTGGCCAATCCACCTAACCTGCACATCTTTGGGCTGTGGGAGGAAACCGGAGCACCAGGAGGAAACCCACGCAGACATGGGGAGAATGTGCAAACCCCACACAGACAGTCGTCCTAGGGTGGAATCAAACCTGGGTCCCTGGCACTGTGAGGCAGCAGCGCTAACCACTGAGCCACTGTGCCGCCCAACTGAGATAAGGTAGATGGAAAGGTAACTGTTTTTATTAGCTGATGGCACTAGGACTAGCGACGCAGATTTAACATTTTGTGCATGAGATACATAGACGATTGTGAGAGGGGGACATTTTCAGACAGTGAGTGGCAACAACCTGGAACTCACTAGAGTGGTGTAGGAGTAGCATCTGTCAGAGCGTTCTGAGATTTAAATAGAAACTTGATGGAAATAAACCACAAGGCTACAGTTAAAGAACAGCTGTCCAAATCACCCCACAGTGGGAACCCGCATGGACCCAATGGGAGGAATGACCTCTCTCTGTGTGCTGTGGAAACTCTTCCCCATGGCTACAATGAGTGCAGTTGGACCCAAATTCTCAGAGGTTCGCTACCAATGGTCTGTGATGCTGTTATCAGACTTGTAAATGATTCACTTGCACATTAAAATATATATTAAAACTAGAGGGACATAGGTTTAAGGTGAGAGGGGAAAGATTTAAAAGGGTCCTGAGGGGCAACTTTTTCATGCAGCGGGTGGTGGAGCGAATGGCTAGACGAAGCAAGGGAGGCTGGTACGATTACAACATTTAAAAGGAGATAGCAAGAACTGCAGATGCTGGAGTCAGTGCATCTGAAGGAACACGGCAGGCCAGGCAGTATCAGAAAAAGCAGGAAAGTTGATGTTTTGGGTCAGAACCCTTCTTCAGCCTTCCCTGCTCCTTTGATGCTGCCTGTGTTTCTCTAACATTTAAAAGGCATCTGGATGATTACATGAATAGAAAGGATTTAGAGGGATATGGCCAAATGCTGGCAAATGGGAGATGTGCGGTGGGGGGGGATATCAGTTTACCATATCTGGTCGGCATGGACAAGTTGGACTGAAGGGTCTGTTTCTGTGCAGTATAACTCTATGACTCTACATTAGAGTTGAGCTTTCTGTGTAGCTGTAACACTATATTCTGCATATTACCCTGACGTACTCATGTAAGGTATGGTTGATATGGTTAACACGCAAAGAATATTTTTCGCTGTATATGTGACGATAATAAATCAAACCAAATCTAAGGAGGGGTTGCTCTGAGTTCTGGATTCGAGCTTGGAATTGTTAATTTGACTCATTTCGACCTGTTGCTTCTTTTTCCTCAGTGCGACCTTTGACCTGTCATCAATGTTCCTCCACCTCTGGTGAATGCAGTCTGCAACAAGTGACCTGCCTTTCAGGAATAAATACCTGCCAAACCACGTCAATCAGCATAATTTTGGGTGATACTTCCTGTTGAATTTTAGTGTCAAAGAGTTGTAGAGGTCTGCAGCGCAAAAACAAAACGAGGCCCTTCAGCCCATCGGGTCTGCGCCAGTCGAAAACAACCACCTAATTAATCTGATCCCATTTTCCAGCATTTGACCCGCAGCCTTGACATTGTAGATCTGAATACTTCTTCAATGTACTGAGGGTTTCTGTCTCTCCCACGCTTACAGGCCGTGAGTTTCAGATTCCTACCACTCTCTGGGCGAAAAGTTGTTCCTCACACCCCCTCTAAACCTACACCCCCTTCCTTTCAATCTCCCCCCCCCCCCCCCCCCCCAGTCATTGATCCCTCCATCAATGGGAAGCCATTCTTCCTATCTGTGCCCCTTATAATGTTACATATCTCTATCATGTCTCCCGTCAGTCTTGTATGCTCTAAGGAAAACAACCCCAGTCTGTCCATTCTCTCTTTGTAACTGAAACTCTCTATCTCAGGCAACATCCTCTGCACCTTCTCTAGCGCCGTTACATCCCTCCTGTAATGTGGACTCCAGAACTGCACACAAGACTCTAGCTATGGCCTAACCAACCTTTTATACTAAAGTAATTCAATCAAGGCTGGTATCCCTCACCGAGTTACCGTTTATTTACATGTGTGTTACATTTGACACTGACCCAGCTCCCTCAGAGCCAGCTCCCAGAGAGAACAGAACCTCTGACCCTCCTGTTTCTATCTGTCAGCCAGGACTCCCTGATTGGACCAGATTAACAGCCCCATTTAGAGAACTCATATTCTATGAGGTCCACCCAGTTTACTTCATTAAGTCGTTACATTTACAGCTCCAGCATCACCTCCCTGCTCTTAAACTCAATTAGCTTCGATTAGTAAAGTTAACTGTCCCATTTCTCCTGTGTATCTCTAACTCTTCATTCCTCTTCCAGTTTTTTTCTCTCTCTCTTATGCTCATTTTTTCTCCTTTAACCTTCTGTTCTTACTCTCTTGTTCCATTTTATTTCTCTCTCTCTTGTCTTTCTGACATTCTCTTGCTTGCTTTCACTCTCACCTTTTATCTCCTTGCCATGTTTTCTCTGTCCTGGCAATGAGATTTTTCTAGGTTGAGATGAAAAATAAAGGGCTTCATGTGATCCATTTTGAACTCTGACTAACAGCAAGCCGTCTGGTTTGATTATTTGAGATTAGAGGAGGAAGAATGGACAAGGTGATGATACTAGGAATCAATGACAGTAGCTTGTGTGCTGACAGCGAATAGATTGTTAGTCTCCAAACTCCTTTCAAAGTTCTGTGAAGTTCAAGTTATAACCAATTGTGCTTTTAAGCTGCCCACTTAGATCCAGGATGAAAGAGAATTGGGCTCGCAATGAAGGGCAATGACTTTTCTACCTGGATATATGGCCCGTGTGATTCACATTATCATAGAATTGGTCTTTGAGAGTGGAAGTGTTTGTAATATACTCCAACAAACACAGCGACACAATTAGTTTGTCAAGATCTGGGAGAGAGAGAGCAAGTGTAGGCAGCAACAAGTTACAGCTTACCACGCAGCTATGAGAATTGGAGCTTGTATTGAGAAAAATCAAGTTCACAAGGAATTAAGACAAACTTGGAAGATTTACCTAACTTTATGTGGAGGGAGAAATTTCCAAAAAAACTTGCATCACGGAAGGCAGTTCGGAAGTTCAACCATTCCAAGTTGGAAAACACAATGAATGGAAGTAATACCTAGGAAGCTAGGAATTATTTTGAATTGTGTGTCTACTGTAACAGCACTATATATAGCTAGTTGGCTGCAAAACTGGTTTGTAATGCAGAGTGATGGCAACATTATGGGCTCAATTCCCACACCGGCTGAGGTTACCATGAAGGATTCTCCTTCTCAGTCTCTCCCCTTCCTTCAGGCATGGTAACCCTCAGGTTAAACCACTACCAGTCATCTCTCTCCTATGGTCTGGTAAAATTATGCAGACTTTAACATTTACTGTAGTTTCAGTCATGTTTTTTTCTTAGTTGGGTGAAAATTGTCATAGTTTGACATATAAGTGCCAAAGGAAAGACATTGTTTAATCAATGGTGATTTTAGTTGCAGTAAGAATCTTAAAGTGAAGTCTTGACAAGTAACCCATTTAGTTATTAATTGAAAGCTACAGAGGGTTTAAACCATTTTGAACTCTGTGGGAAATGTTGTCTCCTTTCCCCCTCTTTTTCTCTGCTTCTTTTCTCACATTTCCTTCTCTCTTGCCTTTTTCTTCCACATCTCTTCTTCACTTTAAATCCCTTTCACTCATTCTCCTCTCTCTCTCTCTCTCATTGGCAGCCTTTTGCTTCTTCTCCCTCTCTTTCTTCTCCTTCATCCCCGTTCTCTCTATCTTACTGTCGGTCAGCCTATGTGAAATCGCTGATGTGATCTTTGCTTGTTTCCAGCTGGAAAGCCCAACCAGGTGATCAGAAATTCCTGTGGATCATGTTGGGATCCTGTTTCCTTGAACACTGGATCTGTGATCCTATCAGAGAGCAGCAGATGCTGTGACTTCAATCTCTGTAATGATCAGACAGTTGCGGGTAAGGTTACAATGTGTCGCAATCCGATCCAGATCCAATTAGATTCATTCCATCATCGGTTTCATAATATCGTGACTGAGACACATCAATCCTGCAAATTCCCCATCAAGTTCCATCAGAGACTGCCAGGGATAGAGACACAGGAATTCCCCCTTTACAGTCTCCCATTCAAAAGCTTCCAGGACAGGGACAGCACGGGGTTAGATACAGAATAAAGCTCACTCTACACTGTCCCCCCCATCAAACACTCCCAGGACAGGGACAGCACGGGGTTAGATACAGAGTAAAGCTCCCTCTACACTGTCCCCATCAAACACTGCCAGGACAGGGACAGCACGGGCATAGATACAGAGTAAGGCTCCCTCTACACTGTCCCCATCGAACACTC